GCAAGGTCACCCCGTGGGACTCCCACTTCCCACTCCCCCTGCAAGGGGTCACCTCCCCCTGCCACGGTGGTGGCTTCTATGCAGGACTGCCCTGTATCAGGGTTCAGGGAAGGGCTATGGCCCCCAGGTCCCCAGCTCAGAAGCTGCCTCCCTGCCTCCTCTGCCACCCACCCCCACCCGGCCGTCCTGTCTATTTGCTCTGCCCTGTCACCCGTCCTACCCCGGGCCAGGCTCCCCAAGCTGGGACCTCCTCCCACAGGGCCCATTACTCTCGATGGCCATGGCGTCCCTTTGTCTGCAGCTTCGGGGCTCCAGCCGAGGTCCACTGAGACACGCGAGGGTCCTGGTGAGCTGTCTCTGTGGCCCTTGCCAGGGACGCCTGAAGTCAAGGCTTCTCCTGAAGGAGGGGGGCCCAAGGTGGGTGGCCTGGATTTCCACTCTGGCTGGGCAGTGGCAGGGCCCGGTGCTCAGCTGACAGCACCTCCTCGCCTCTGTGTCCTCGCTTTGGTGCCCCATCACGGGGCAGTGCTCAAAGCAAGACTCAGTGTTACCAGACCAGTTACACTGACAACACAGTTATCATATTAGTTCCTAAAACATGTGATGTAGAAACTGAGGTGCCTCTTATCACTGCAGTCCCAGCAGCACTGAGTGACAGCAGGACGTGGGGGCGTCAGCGGGATGACCACGGCACAAAGTGGCTCTAGTGTGTGCTGGGCTCGGTCCCAGCACTGTTACTGCTTCCTTTGTAACTAAAGGGACAGTATCCCCCACCTCCCGAGATCAAAGCAAAGGAGACGGAGAGACCTTCCCACTGGGTTTCTTTTCTGATGGGAAGGTTGGTCCCTGACTCCCTCTTACCCGCCCCAGTCCCCCGCAGTAAGTCCCTGTCCTGCGACTGCCTCTGTCCCTCTCAGCAACCTGGATACGGGCACAGGGGCTGGGGTACAGACTCCTGACCACCACTCACCTACCTACCAGCTCTACATTCTCTGCACTCTCAGAACACAGCCCCCAGCCCCCTTAGCCCCCGCCCTCCTCTGGGTGCCCAATGCTCAGTGTCCACCCGGGTGGCTGGAGGCCTGTGCCTCTGCTTCGTGTGGACAGAGGACAAAAGCCCCAGGGCCCCACCCCTGGGGATACAGAAGGCAGGGGGTCTTCCTTGTTAACCAGCTCCCCAACCCAGCCACACACAGAAGCCTCCCTTCCTCAAAGCCCTGGCACTGGATGGGGGCAGCCCCTCGCAGGGTGGTCTGCCCAGCACGGGAGGGGCGAGTTCTCAGGCTGGTTTTCCCAGGTGCCTGCACATCCAGACCTTTCCTGAGCACTTTGTCCTCATCTGTCCTGTGGAAATCAGGTTGGGATTGGCCTCAGGGCTGGCTCCTGAACAGTGACCTGCTCCTGGGGGCTAAGCTGACCGACCAGACCCTGCCTTAACTGGTGCCTCCACCGGGGCCGGACATGTGGCTCAAACCCTTCCACAAGCCCCGGTGATGCTTCTGAGAGGCCTGTCCTCATCCTCTCCTTTCTGACTCCAATCTTAGGGACTGGAAGCTGTTTGAGGTTTCTCGGACACGTACTTGCCTGCTCCGGAGGGTCAAGGCCAAGTGCTCTGCTCCATGTGGGTATCCCTCTGCTCCAGCCTTGGTCAGAAGCCATGGCTGAACTCAGCGTTTCACAGCGCCCTGTTATGGTGCTAGGGGGTCTCCCGAAGGGAAATTACCGCCAATCAGTCCTTGAATCAACTTAACCCTGTGTGTCGGGGGGGCCTAACTGGGCAGCCTCCATGTATACCTGCCTGTGTGGAGGCTCCTTCCTCTGGCCAGTGGTCCATTGAGAGCCGGGTTGAAGGGTGTGTGCCTCCCAGCTTCCCTGTGTCCCTGGTGTGGTCAGAACCTCAGAGGCTGCAAACACACTCAGACCAGGGGATTTTGGCTATGGAGACTTGTCTGGTTGGGCTGGGCTGGAGCTATGGCCCCAGTTTACAGTGAGGGGCAGAATCAGAGCTAGTGTGGAAACCAGTGCTGTGTTCACCCATCACAGGTCTTTGCTGCCTATGAGAAATGCCATGATTTTTCTTATGATTACTAAGGAATCTCATAACTGCCCATGTTGCTCTTCACTTTGGCTGCTGGGAAGCTCAGTCATGTCTAAATGCCACTGGGAGTCCAAGGCATGGTCATCTGGACATCTCATCTGCCACCTGGTCTCACAGTTACTTGGCCTGAATTTCAGTGACTGTGGGGCCCACAACACTAGGCATCAGTCCCCTGGCCTCTACCCTCCACCAAAGTTGTGCCCCTTCTGGCAGACCACCTAGCTTGTGCATCATTGAGGAGGTGGCAGACGTCTGGTGGTTGTGCTGGCCCTGCCCCTCTACCCAGCTTTCCCCGAGGCAGGGCCATCCCTCCAGTTGAGTGCAGTCTTGTCCTTCCCAGGGGCCTCCACCAGCAACGGTGATGACAACCCAACTGCTCGTGCTCAGTCCCCTACCCGCTCTCAGTGCATGACGTAAATCAGCTCTCATCACCCTGACAGCTGCCCTGTGAAGCAGGCACTACCACCATCCCCGTTTCACAGACGGGGAGGCCGAGGCACAGAGAGCCCGGGATTCGCACGTGGTAGCTGACTTCGGAGACAGGGGCCCTGCGCACGCCTCTTCAGGCCCCCGGCGCCTTCCTAGCCTCAGCCTGGGCGTCTCCCAGACCCAGCACCCGGCGACTGCCCCCTCCACCTCCCTGTGCACGAGGCCCCGCGGCCAGTAGCCAGGCCCGGAGAGAGTAAACGGACTCCAGCGTGCCTCTGAGGCCCCGCACAGTCGTACCCGGGCCTTCCCAGCTAGGAGCGCCAGGCTCCGCACCACCGTCCCCAGGCCCCTCTGGACCCCGCGCTGCCGCAGCGCCCTCCGCCGGCTAAGCTGCCCGCGCGGGGGCTTGTGGGACTGCGAGGCCTCCGGCCTCGGGGGCCTGCGGCGGCCGTCCGTTTCAGGACTACACTTCCCAGGAAGCTGTGCGCGCTCGC